TAACCTGCAAGAGTCATGCAATGCCAGGATGTGTAACCTGCAAGGGTCATGCAATGCCAGGATGTGTAACCTGCAAGGGACATGCAATGCCAGGATGTGTAACCTGCAAGGGACATGCAATGCTAGGATGTGCAACCTGCAAGGGTCATGCAATGCCAGGATGTGTAACCTGCAAGGGTCATGCAATGCCAGGATGTGTAACCTGCAAGGGACATGCAATGCTAGGATGTGTAACCTGCAAGGTTCATGCAATGCCAGGATGTGTAACCTGCAAGGGTCATACAATGCCAGGATGTGTAACCTGCAAGGGACATGCAATGCTAGGATGTGTAACCTGCAAGGGTCATGCAATGCCAGGATGTGTAACCTGCAAGGGTCATGCAATGCCAGGATGTGTAACCTGCAAGGGACATGCAATGCCAGGATGTGTAACCTGCAAGGGACATGCAATGCTAGGATGTGTAACCTGCAAGGGTTATGCAATGCCAGGATGTGTAACCTGCAATGGACATACAATGCTAGGATGTTTAACCTGCAAGGGTCATGCAATGCCAGGATGTGTAACCTGCAAGGGTCATACAATGCCAGGATGTGTAACCTGCAAGGGTCATGCAATGCCAGGATGTGCAACCTGCCAAAGTAGAAACCTGATAATAAAGAAATGATATGCACTGCTAATATATTTCTGATTACCTAACATCAGATCCTGATCATCAGTCATGATTAATATGATATTTGGCTTGCTGCTTTTGTTCTTTGCTTTGTTTGATTGTTTATTCTCTCTTAAATTGCTAGAATAGGATGGCTTGTTACGATTTCTTTCTGGAGCTGCATCTATGACAGTGACGAAGTATAGAAGGGGTGCCAACAAAGAAAATAGCCATGGTAACTGCATTGTTAGTTATCAGCTGTAAAAAAAGAGTAATGATGAATATATTATTGGCAAATTTATAAGTAGTATACAATTGTTTCATTATTGGCAAGACAAATGATAACAAGATGCCCTAATATAATCAAAATTATATTAAACACGCCATGCATGGCACAGTCCCAGTTAGTTATCGAATTTAAGATATATAGTTTTGTTTATAGTAATATAGCTGGAATATAAACATGTCAGAAATATGATTATGATGTCATTTGTATCTGATTGTCAAACGAGTATTTACAGATATTTCTCTGGAACAGCATTAATTTAAACAAAATCAGCCATTTTGAATACACGTATAATGAATACTAGTATATAAAATTTGAACATACATGTAGTCAGTCAAAGCAAGTTAGAGATATGGCTCTAGAAGCCCATTGATTAAAACAAAATGAATCTGATCTAAAAATTAAAAATATAGCTGCATAGCAGCGATGACGGGTTTCGAGCCTGCGTGGCTCATGGCAAATTGCACTTGCTCGATGTGATTATTTGACGAATGTTTCATGTCTAGAATGAAAGATAGCAGACAAACTACACAACATATGGATTTGATTTCACAGGAATAAGATAAACTTAATGCAAGGACAAATAGTTCATGAGTTATAGAACTTTTTCTCTTTTACTAAATCCAAGATGGCTGCCAAAGGAAGCCATTTTT